TTCATCTTATTGGTATGGTTGAGACTCATTTCACTACTCATACTTAAATGAAAATAAAGTTAGTTTTGCCACAGTGTATTATTAATAAGGAAGTGTATTTCCAATGACTTTTAATGTGTCTGACTATTTGTACATTAGGTGATTAAACATATTTTCAATGAGATATTGGTGAACTAACTATATTTCTTAATCTGATATTATTGCCTTATAATACATGTCAGGGTAGAGTCTCTAATTTTCACAATAGTGCTAAAGAAAAATAGTATCTAATCATTCAGTATAAAGCTTTCACTACTTGCAATATTTTAGGAATATGCCACAATTCTCTCTTCTATATGAAACATATAGAATAAAATTCTATTATATGTATAAAATTCATATATATATATATATGAATGAAAGAGATGTCATATGTCAGCATATGAGACATAAATTTTGAAAAGAAACTAAAGAAAAGGGAATAGTTGGATTGAGGGGGTAATGTACTCCTGTAGACTGGCTTACTTGTAGGCATCAGTAGATCAAAACTTTTGGCATAGACTTTTAAAGTTCATTTGTTCACTCATAGTGAAAAAACACAACCATAACATTTCCCTCTTTTCTTTCCTCCCTCCAAGCCCTCCAATATACATCTCCTTGCTCTCTTTCAAATTCATGGGGTATTTTTTGCATTAATTGTCATGACATATACATATATGCATATATGTTCAGTCTATATAATGTTACACATATGTATGTTTCCAGGGCTGACATACCCCGTCGGTATGCTCTTTCTTGGAGAAGACTATTTCTCTTGCTTTCAGTATTCCCTATTTGCCTGTGGTTCTTTGTGTAGGATGGAGGCCTCGTAGCCTTTTGCCATATACCTTGGTGTGTCTATTGGTATCATCCATGTTCAGCTCACTAGGCAGTGATGTTGGTAAGACTTCATGGGTGTAGCTACAAACAGCACGACTCATAACCCTAGGGGTACAGTGGAGGTACCATACATACCTTGGCAGTAACCAACATCTCTCTAATTGAATTTAAGGCCCACATAACAAGAGGGAGACCATGGTTGGAAACATAGACAACTACTGAATACGAATAAAGTCATGGATATAGGAGGAGAACGTACAATTACCATTTTATTAAACCAGCACAATTTGTCACAACAATTGAAACATTTGCCACAGCTTTTTTGAAATACATCTTCTCTGACATTTCTAAGATATTGGTTTCTGAAACCTCCATTAGGAAAAGGGTCAGATGGCCGGCCTCAGGTGGGCACGGGGCACATGAAGAACTCTATCACCCAGTTTCTTTTCTTTAGCTACTTTATATGGGTATGGGCTGAGTTTTGAGCATTTCCACCTCATTAAGACTTCTGAATTCCTCCCCAAATAAAAGCTTTCTTCTTCCCAACAATCTCGCTTCTGCTTTGATGACTTCCTTCTTCCCTTCCTTCCTTCCATCCTTCCTTTCTTCCTTCTTTCTTAACCCATTGAGTTTAATTATGTTTGTTTGAATGAATATCAGTTGGGGGGTTATTTATCAGAACATGGGCAATTTGTAAGCCACTCTCAACCCTTAAATGTCACAGTCCTCAATGAAAAGTGCCGCCTCAAGAAGGTCCGTGGATCCACTTCAATCTTGTTTTTGTGCATGGTGATGGACGTGTACCAAATTTTATGCTTTCTCGTGTAGAAATTCTGATTTTTCTTTTCTCTGGTATATTTTTTGCCTTTTTTGTTTTTGTCACTGTTTTTTTTTCTTTTTTGCTATAGTTATGAGAATATGTGGAGAGGGGGGAACTTTTATTCACAGTTGGTGGGAATACATATTGGTGCTATCACTCAGGAAGTCAGTGTGGAGAATCCTCAAAAGCTAAAAACAAATCTACCAAATGACCCGGCTACATCACTCCTGAGCATATACCCAAAGGACTCAGTAGGAGCATCCTACTCCACAGTTATTTGCTCATCCATGTTCATAGCTGCCCTGTTCACAATAGCTGAGAAATGGAAAAATCCTAAATATCCTTCAAATGAAGAATGGCTAATGAAAGGGTGTTGCTTCTACACAATGGGAAACTAGCTCACTGGAAAGGAAAGTAAAACCGCGAAATTTGAAGCTAAGGGGATACACCTGGAAAAGATTATACTGCTGGAGGTGGTCAAGACCCAGAAAGGCAAACCTTGTGTTTTCTCTCTCTTCCATATTCCCAACTCCAAATCCTCAGGTGTAAATTGACAGCATGGAGTAACTGCAGAAACCAAGAAAGTATAAATGGATCATAGGTGGAGGGTGAGTGGTGGTTGGAGATAAATGGTATGAAGTATGAAATAGGAAAATGGGGAGGGGATTCCAAAGGAGAGGGAGGGTGGGGAGAGAGGTCAATAGAGACTGGGAAGAGGGACAGATAACACCAAGGTTGTTTGATAATGCCTCAAGGAATCAATTTATTTTACATTTACATAAAACTATACAATGTAATACACACGCACACACACACACACACACACACACACACACACACACACGTAGCTTAAAGGAAGTGAAGCCACTTTGGGTTGACCATGCTTCCCATAAAAACCATATAACAACAAAAAATCCCAGTACCAAACATGAAACACTTCTCTTTTTTTTCTCCATTTCTTAATTTGAAGTAGAAACAAGATTGTTTTACATGTCAATCCCAGTTCCTTCTCCCTCTCCATCTCCCCTGCTCACCCCAACTAACACCCTACCTATCCCATATCCTTTCTGCTCCCCAGGGAGGGTGAGGCCTTCCATAGGGGGTCTTCAGAGTCTACATGAAACACTTATTAATAGTGGTTGGTCAGGGTAATCCAAGAAACTTTCAAAACAATATAAACTATTGTTGTTACCTTGGCTACCTTTAAAGGGTTGAGAGTGGAGCAAGCCATTGCACACCTAGAATGCAAGACTCAGATGATCTGAGCTGGATTTGACCTGAAAGCCTCTTTCCATTGGTCTTCGCCTCCATGGTACCAGGAAATACCTGTGGGCTGCCAAGGGAGGGAAGAAACTGAACAGTTGCTACCAAGTGCAACACCTAAAAACCACAGCCGTAACCAACATGGCAAGGCATCTGTTAAAGGTGCAGCAAGTGCTGCTCACATGTTGGTTCTAGCCAACATGTGTCTAACTGGACTTAGCATCACTCAACAGGAGGGAAATCATGTCTGGTTTGGAGAACTTACACAACTTCCCTGGGCAAATGAGGTCATGGAACTTAGAAAAGAATCAATTGTCCCCACTTTGCTAGACTAGTGTAATTCCTCTCAATCTTGTCCTTACACCCACTGAGGCGTAGAGCTACCTCTCTTCATCAAACAAAAGCCTCTCTCAACAAATGGAGACCATCATAGAAACTACCACAATTGGAAACAATGCAGAGATCGGTGGGTCTTGGGGACCCCAACCCCAATAGATATATATCTACATCACAATTTCTGAATTTAATCTCAGGGAACATTGGAGAAGAGAAGGCAAAAAAGATTGTATGAAGAAGGCTGCAGTGAAACAGTATGCACTAGAAATTGCTTCATAAACAAGACAAAGTAATGGCATTATCAGTTAACATAATATAAAAGGGGGGATTTCACAGAGACCCATCCCTAAAAAGGAACTAATGAAACTGATGACTCATTGGAGAGGAATTAGCCTGTCACAGGAATAAACCCCCTAATTCGTTGTACAAATCAGAGTGGTCAGCTCTGCAACCACATTCATACAAACAACAAACATAGTAAGCTGTATTATATATTTATGAATGCATATACATATATACGTACTCAAAAACAATAGTCAAACATAAATATGGTATCAACTTGACAGTTTGGGAGACAGGAGAGAAGTTGGAAGGAGGATGCCAGGGAGGGGCTAGAGAGAAAAGGGGAGGGGAAATAATAAAATTCTATTTCAACTGAAAATGTATTATTTTAAAAAATACAAATGACGTCAGGAAGTATCTCTTTACTAGACAGAATTGATGTAAGGATGCTCCAAGTTTAGAAGCCCCAGGAGCAAAAGTGTGAGTGGGTCATGGCATCTGTGCAAGAGGACCCAGGACTACAGGGGAGTCTGTATCTTGAAGACATCACAATTCACACAGGTCATGTGACTCCTATGGAGAGAGGACATAGATGGTGATGCACATTAGTTAAGATCAGCAGTCAGGAAGCCAGAGTGACCAGGTCTCTTGTCTGTTTGGACCCAATTATGGCCTTGGGGTATTAGCCACTATGGGTCACTGGGACCAGATTCTATTGCTTTCCTGCTCTTCACACAAAGAGCCCCTTGAGGCAAACATGCAGGTTACACCATTTTCCTCCCAAAGCTGCAGATGTCTCTCCTGATAGAACAAACATTTCCTGGGACTGATTCCACACCACCCCAGTGCACCCTTTTCACACTTCCTGCGTCACAAACAAGGATGGTCCTTGGGACTGATTTACCTCCTTATTCACAAAGATGAAAAAAAAAAAAACCACATGGATTTGTGGTCTCTAAAGGATAAGCGAACCCTAAATGGGATTGAAGACCATTAATTGGTATGTGAAACAAAACCATTAATGCTTTCTAATAACGTAGCAAGAAATTGAGTCTTATGAATCCAAAGCAAAAGGAGTTACAAAAATACAACTTAAATTCACATGATTGTATAAGTGGTAAATGTTCAAAGCATTAAATGCTACACATGTGCAAAATAAATGTATGGAAAAGATGCATTAAGGAGAGGAATTTGAGACAAACTGACAGCCCAGGGAGCTTGTTCTGCCTCTACCAGGAGCTTGCTTCACCAGGGAATGGAGCTCAACACCATAAACTTTGCAATTCTGCACATGCATTGCTGTAGGCTTCACTACCAAGCCCGTAATGCACCCAGGGAGTCCATCGTGTACCCCCTATAAACACTGGGGGAGATGTCTCTCCTGTTTGGTAAGACACTTACCTCTAAATGTGTCCTGGTCCTTGCCTGATTAATGAATGTGTTATTCTGCGAAGACTTCTTGGTGTAGGAATAACCCTCCTTTTGGACAGTAGCACATCCCTTGAGCTTGGTGCAAAGATTTTGTGTGATGAATTCCACCCTGTAGTTGCTCTTGAAACTGCATAACATACCCATCATAGCCTTGGGAATGCTGTCTAAGATGTGGCAAGTTCTCTGCTGTTTTCCTGGCCCAGCCAAGGTTTCTTTTGAGCTTGTGAACCTTTTTATCTTGTTGACGCACTCGGGCCAGGTCTTCGTCCAGGGCATATTCTTTGCCCTTGATTTGCTGAGCAGAGACTTTTTGGAGAGTTAGTGGTGCCTGGTATGGTTTCAGAGGGGCACTGTGGGATTTCAGCTTGACTTGTGCTATCACCTGGCCTAGGGTCTTTCGCTGGCCTGTTTGGGACTTTAGTTGGCCTTCCTGGGATCTTAGCTGGGCTTGGGATTTGATTTGTGACTGGGATTGAAGTTGGGATTTTTGTTGGCTAATCTCGTCTTCTTCATCACAATCTATGTCTTCATTTAAATCTGTCTGCTCCTGTGAACTCTGAGTCTCCCTCGCTTCAGCATCAGCATCTTGGCCATATGCATGTTGCTTCGTTTGGGTAAAAAACGCTTTCTTCAGATGCAGCTTCCTGTTCTTCGCTGGGCCCATAGTGGAAATGGCCTTTTTGGATAAATACAACTGGGGGTGTTCTTACTAGAAAGTGTCCTTTTGGCCCACCTGGTAATTGATAACAAAATGTTTGAGTTATACTCTCTGTATAGCGCCCTTTCTAGTCTTATCCTAGAATTTCCCCCATCAACCCACCAAGGTATCCACAAGGCATGTGGGTTTGGGTGGAGAAGAGTCAAAGTCCACCAAGATCCCCCGTGGAGGGTTCTTCTCACAGCCAGAGCACCTTATGGGCATTCTCCCTGAGTGCCTTCCTGCCAGGTGACGCCCTGCACTCACCATAGGTTCCTATTCCAGCTGCTTGCTTCCCCAGAAGGAGGAGCAGAGAAAGGCTGAAGAAGATGGACTTCATCTCACCAGGAGGGGCCTTCACTGAGAGCTCAGCCAACCTCTGCTTTATATGTTCTCTGCTGGGTGCATAGACGTGGCTGGAGTCACAAAAAAGCCCTCACCGGTTCCTACTTATCTGGGCTGCTGGCTTCTGCCTTCTTCTCAGTAGGAGATATTGTCAATATTCCTAGAGACTATAGACACAAGATGTCGGCATCTTTGTCTTACCCTCCCTACAAGTCCCAGAAAATCTTTATCATCACTTCAAGATCATCACATGATGTTTCCAGAAGAAATTCAAGGCAGAGATCACAAGAGTAACCAGAGCCTTCCAAGATTTAGTAGTTCAAGTGTGGGGCCTTGTCCACAGCGCCCTTAGTTACATGCTGTACCGCAAATGTGATGTGCCCTTCTGTTTCTTTCCAAATGAGATGGACGCGCATGTTTCCTCTCAAAGGGCCTATCCATAAAGATAAAAAAGACACAGGAAAGCAGGCAAATTCAAGGATTCCAAAGAAAATTTCAGTAAGCTTCAGCATCAGCATCTTGGCCATATGCATGTTGCTTCGTTTGGGTAAAAAACGCTTTCTTCAGATGCAGCTTCCTGTTCTTCGCTGGGCCCATAGTGGAAATGGCCTTTTTGGATAAATACAACTGGGGGTGTTCTTACTAGAAAGTGTCCTTTTGGCCCACCTGGTAATTGATAACAAAATGTTTGAGTTATACTCTCTGTATAGCGCCCTTTCTAGTCTTATCCTAGAATTTCCCCCATCAACCCACCAAGGTATCCACAAGGCATGTGGGTTTGGGTGGAGAAGAGTCAAAGTCCACCAAGATCCCCCGTGGAGGGTTCTTCTCACAGCCAGAGCACCTTATGGGCATTCTCCCTGAGTGCCTTCCTGCCAGGTGACGCCCTGCACTCACCATAGGTTCCTATTCCAGCTGCTTGCTTCCCCAGAAGGAGGAGCAGAGAAAGGCTGAAGAAGATGGACTTCATCTCACCAGGAGGGGCCTTCACTGAGAGCTCAGCCAACCTCTGCTTTATATGTTCTCTGCTGGGTGCATAGACGTGGCTGGAGTCACAAAAAAGCCCTCACCGGTTCCTACTTATCTGGGCTGCTGGCTTCTGCCTTCTTCTCAGTAGGAGATATTGTCAATATTCCTAGAGACTATAGACACAAGATGTCGGCATCTTTGTCTTACCCTCCCTACAAGTCCCAGAAAATCTTTATCATCACTTCAAGATCATCACATGATGTTTCCAGAAGAAATTCAAGGCAGAGATCACAAGAGTAACCAGAGCCTTCCAAGATTTAGTAGTTCAAGTGTGGGGCCTTGTCCACAGCGCCCTTAGTTACATGCTGTACCGCAAATGTGATGTGTTGCTACTGAGCTGTGTGAAAATTCCCTAGTGTTTCCTGTCAGTATTGGCTTTGATGAGCGTCCATGAGTGCTGTATCTGTGTCATCTGCAGGATGGAGAGCAGCAGAGATGAGGTCAAGAGTGTGCTGTGGTCCATGTACTCGGTGGAGTGAGCACTGGGGCTGCGTCAAGAGGAAGGAGCTGCAGATGGCTTTCAAGTATGGAGAGATTTACTGTGTTCAGCTGCAGACAGGAATGACTATTGGAACAAGGAGAAATGACCCTGGTCTCCTTATTTCTTTATTTTCATGGAATCATCTAAAACCACAGAACCCACTCAATGAGGGAAGTCTTTTCTCTATGAAGAACAACTTCAGGCGGTCACTGGTTATGTCTGTCATCACTAGTGGATGTGTTGATATAAGAATGCCATGCATGTATTGAGACTGGATGCCAAGGGAGCCTGTGTACCTCCTGTAAAAGTGCAGTTCCCTGCAGCTGTGGGAAGACCCCGAGTGGTTCCTATGACTGGCCTTTAGTTTCCCAGGCAGACAGTGGTGTGGGAAAAGCACAGAAGAATTAGCTATCTCTGCTGAGACATGCATGTCCTCACACCAGCTGGGCAGGGGATCTAAGAGAAGGTGCATGAAAAAGCATTTTCAGCCTTTATATCCCCAAATGCTAGTTTACCTAGAAGAATGCTTTGTGGAAGGGGTTAAAGTGAAGTCCACTCATGCTTTCATGAGAAGAAGGAGATAAAGGTACTCAGTCACCCAACAGAACACAAGGGTGCTGGCTTTTACCTAGGAGCTCTGAGCTCCTCCTAATCTGATCTCTTTGTCCCAAGCCTGAGGATAACTGACTCCTCAGTAGAGATGCCAGCCAAAAGATCTGAAATTACCAAGAAGGCAAATTATTTCCCTTTCTTGCTTACATCTCTACTGTTCTATGCCCTTCCCTTGAGACGATGCCAGAAGGAACTCTTCCAAGGAGATCTGGCTTGTAGAAGAATGAGTTCGAAAATGGATTTTCATCATGGGTAAAAGATAGAGTTTGTGTTGTGCTCTGTGCACAAGATGAAGATAAAGCCAAAGAGCTCAATTTGTTCAGAAAGAAAATCACAATGATTCCAATTAAAAACTACCAAGAGATCCTGACTCCACATCAGAAGAGAACTCAATGGCATCATAGACTGCTGTGTCTATGCATTGCCATGATGAAGGTGAAAACACCTTTCCGGATGCCTTCAGAATCAGCGTGGCGTGAGAGGAAAAACATCTTGATGCAGTGCACCATGGAGGAGGAAAAACCTTAGAGCAAATTCAAAGTAAAGGACAGAAATGGTGTCCTCATAATTTTCATGAGTATTGACAAATTATCCTCCCAAGGCAGAAGAAAAAATGCTTTAAATAACTGATCTCACACCCACAGCTAAACGGTAAGCTCCACTCTGGAATCAGTTGCAGAGAAAGAGGAGTGATGAGCAAAGGGGTCAAAACCAGGCTGGAGAAACCCACAGAAACAGCTGACCTGAACAAGGGGGAGCTCATGGTCCCCAGACTGATAGCTGGGAAACCAGCATGGGACTGTTCCAGAACCCCTGAATGTGGGTGTCAGTGAGGAGGTCTGGGCAATCTATGGAGCTTCTGGTAGTGGATCAGTATTTATCCCTAGTACACAAATGGACTTTGGGAGCCCACTCCACATACAGGAATACTCTCTCAGCCTAGACACACAGGGGAGGGTCTAGGCCCTGCTCCAAATGATGACAGTTTTTGAGAATCCCCCAAGGAAGGCCTCACCCTCCTTGGGGAGCAGAAAGGGGATGGGATGGGGGCCGGTAGGGGGCAGGAGAGTAGGGGAGGGAGAGGGAACTGGGATTGACATGTAAAACAAGCTTGTTTCTAATTTAAATTACAAAAGGAAAAAATGCATATAATAAAAAACTGATGTGATTGTTAGGAGTCATGTAACAGATGGACAGACTGGAACTGGGCTCCACTACTCTGCTTTGTTCAGATATCTTCTGTAATGGTCTCTGTTGCAAAGAGAAATCACTTTGATACTGGTGAGGACTACACTTATTCATGGGTATAAGGAATAATACTATATTATAATCTCAAAAAATTAAAATACTTTTCTATTAAAAACACTTATTAAAACTTTGTCATTTAAAAACTTACAAGTAAAAAAAAACATGACCAGTGGGGAGCATAATGGTCAGTGCTCCCAAGCTCTAGCAAGGAGGAAGCCCCATCAGCTGTGAGCTACTTTGGAGACTGGGAGTTTGTAGTTGGCAGATTGCTCTGCCATTACCTCTCCCTCTGGTCTACCTAGGCTTTGTTGCAGATCAATCTGAGCTCTCTGAGCCTAGTTTGTCCCAGTAGTTCACCAGGTTTTCCCAGCCTCTTCCCTCAGGCAGGATGTATACTGCTGAGAAAGATCTGAATGCCTCAGTGGGCTGTCTCTTCCACCTCCAACCTCAGTGGAGAGTCATTTATCTGTTTACTTTCCCACTTTGACACACTCAGGTGTCACCCCAGGGCTTGCACATTTGCTGTCTTTAGGTGGAAGTATTCTACAGGGAATGGGAACCTGCCAGATCCACAGGCTGAAAAGTCACTGGAACACGAAATGGATCCAGTACTCAAAGAAGCCAAGGTTACAATGTGAAGGCATCTCTGATGCTAAGAGCTGACCCTTGAAGTATTCAAGCCCTTGAGTTGCATAGAATAACAGTTGGAAGAGCAGAAATGGCCATGGAGCTCAGAATTGACTCAGTGCCCTCCCAACACGTACTTCGAAGATTCTAATAGTATAGACTCCAGAAATAGGCCTCTCAAATCCTTTGTCATTTTGAAGCAAATTATGAGTTTTTAGTTTTTCCTTTTACTATAATTTTAGTACTGTCCATAAAAGAACAGAAAGCTTCATATAAATTTAATAGCCTCACTCTTTTCTGTATTATCAGTATTAAGGTCATCTAAAAAGGAAATCAACAAAATTCTGGTGTAAGCAACTGCAGATCAAATATGCATAATCTATGCAACTGAAGTTAGTACTCACTACTGGAAGCCAGGGGACTTTCTCTAAAACAGATCTAAAACTCCAAAACCACATTTTAACAAACTCAAAAGAATAAAGACTTTCTTATATCTCATCAGACCATGATAAAGTTAGAAACACTATCAACAGAATATACAACCACATGAAGATTAACAATTTCACTTCTCAATGGGCATTGAGTCTTTGAAGAAATCCCAGGGAAATGAAAATTTCCCCTAACTACTGAAAAAGCAAGACACTTTGGGATAAGGCAAAGTTATAAGTTTCATAGATATGAGCACATGCCTTAAAGAGTTAGAAATTATCTTACAAGGAATAGAAACAGGAACAAAAATACGAGAAATCTGTAATGAGAAATGATTCTTTGAAAAGATAAACAAGCTTGGCAGCCTTTATCCATATTAACCAATAGTTACAGGGAGAATTCTAAATTAATAAAAGTAGAAACAAAAAGGGACATTATAACAGATACTGGTGAGACTCAGAAGACCATATTTCAGAAGGCTTTATTCTGCTAACGTGGAAAATCTGAAAGAAACAGAAAAATTTCTTGATGCATTCAATATACCAAAACTAATCCAAGATGAATCAACAATTTACACTGACTCCAAAAACAGCAATAAAAAGTGGTGACAAAAAGTCTCCCAACTTAAAACAACAACAGCAACAAAACCGAAGACCATATGAATTTGCTTCAGTTTTACAAGTGTCGAGACCGCCTCGACCAGCAAGGAAGACGCAACGCTGAGACTCTTCCTTAAGCAGTTTACTCAGGAACCTTGAACAATCTTCTGACCCCAGGGAAAGCCAGCCCACAGCTTAAAAGCACTCTTGCCAGCCAACCCCAGAAAGCCACGTGGCTAAGGCGGATAGGCTCGCATTTGTTGATGCAAGTTTGAATCTTAGACCAAGCCAAATAAGGAGTTGTTTATTCCAGAGAGCGCTCACCCTCGGGATGGTGGAAGACAGAAACAGGCACCATCTTTAAGGCGAGGTGCATCGCAGCTCTCCACATACAAGAACTTCACAGAAGAGCTACCATTAGCATCACTTAAATTATTATTCAGGGAAGGCTTCCAAATTCTTTTTATGAAGTCAGTATTGCCCTGATGAATACACACACACACACACACACACTCACACTCACACACACACACACACACTCACACTCACACACACGATAAGAAAATTACAGATTTATCTCTCTGATGAGCATCTGTCTTGACCCGGCTTGTCTCAGCTTTAACCCACGACAGCCATGAGGTTCGGCCTAAGTGTGTGTGGGGGTATGGACCTGGAAGCTCCCATCAACCCAACAGCGATAAAGATCAAACACAGGCATCTTGTCATCTTCAGAGAGCTCTCAGTTCCATGTTGTAGAACTAGAGTCATTTCTTTATTAGCCATCTTTCTGGTGTTTCTTAACCATCCTGCCAACACCAGGAAGGAATCATTTCTCTCTTTGTTCCCTCTCTGCTCTGGCCGCTCCGCCCCTAACTCCTAACCTTCCATCCTCACAAGTTACTCACACACCTCTGATCTCCCTGCCCAGGCAAGCATCTATTCAGA